ATTTAATGCATTTTCAACATTTAAATTTATTAATTCATTACAAATTAAAAAAGGCTGAAGAAATTTCTAAGAACAAAGAAATATGTTTGAAATTATCAAAAACTATCAATGAAGAAAATTTCCAAAAAAAGAAATTGATAGAATTAATAAATTTATTTCATATTAATTTGTTTCTATCTACATTTAATCGTTTCTAAATTTTCATAAATATTTTACTGCCATTATATTTGTTTGTTAAATCCGAAATTGAACAATGGTCGGTAGTGTAACACAAAATGATTTCATAAATTTCTCCCCTTAGTCCAAATTAGGAAGATTTCTATTTGAGGTATTTATATAAATGAAAAAAATAATAAAATTAATATAATAATAAATAATTTCAATAATAAAATATATTAAAGATGATCAAAGAGATTATTTAAAGAGTCTTATCAAACTGTTGTTTTATTTTTTTGCTCCTGAAAGATGACAGAATAAACACACGTAAAGAAATTCATTAAAGAAAATATTATAAAAATATTTTATAAATTTAATCCTTTCAGAAACTCCTTTTTAGTCTTTATATATATTTTAATAATTCCTTAATTTGATACATTTAAACGCGCTTATCCACGCTTATCTAGGAGAATATTTAATTCTTGTCTGTCAATTCATTTGTTATTACTTCGGATAAAGTATTTATAGTTATTTATATAAATTGATCTCCTTTTTTTATTCAGAGAAGATGAAAACATTTACGTAAAAGAAATTTGGGAAATTGGAATCGAAAAAAAGACATTTTATTCATTCTATTACTTCATATAAAGTATTTACTGTATAGTGTTTAATTAATATCCTTTTTTTATACGTAAAATATAAATTTTGATCATGAGATCATGAGATCATGTGAGTCACATTACGCAATATTATTCACCCGTGGCACTGGTATCGTTTTTGATAACCTTATTTTTGAGTAAACGTGATACAACTAATATATACATAGGCACTTGATTTATAGAATAACAAAATCATGTGAGAATCGAATAATTAGTTGAAAAATGATATAACAGTATACAAAAAAAATAACCATAGATCTATCAAAAACGATACTTTTGCGATTGTCTGAAGTTAATCTAATTGGGTATACATATACAATGTATCAACGTAAGGACCTTATTAAGAATGTTGAAAAAAGGTTTCTGGAGTATGATTGTGAAATGAAAGTTGAAGATTGAAATTATGCAAATATTATTTGTATAATTAAATGATAAATTGCATTTATATGTCTAAACTTTTGTTTAACCATATAGAGACAATGTGCATCATTGTGATATTGTAGAAATTGACATATTCTTTATAATTCCAGATTTATAATTATCAATATTTACAGTAAATTGTTCTTTGTAAATATGAAACATTCCTAATCTGTAACTGATAGTCGAGATTATCAGTAAGCTATTACCAAAATATGTGTTTCATTTTAATGACTTTATCTGTTTATTTTGTTTCTTGTGTTGATACAGAAAGTAATGTTTTTTATCAAAGATTCAAAAAAAAAAGCTTTGATTTATTTTATTTTATCTGCAATTCGATTTTTCAAGTAGCCATAAATAGATAAAATGATTCATAACAATGAGACAATGAAATTTATTCATCAATATAACTAAATATAAAAATATAAAAATAACTCTATAATTATTAGTTATGTATAAAAAAAAATTATTCAACTAATTTTAGTTCATAAGTTCGTGCATATAGGTCATGTAGGTGTCAGTGTATGCAGGGTAGGGTCCGGGGTATAAGAAGTTATGTCAATGGAAATAGATAGAATCTATATCTCCGATTATGTTCAGCGTAATAAAGGTTTACTGAAGTTTGAATCACTTTTATAAAGATAATGCAAAAATATGTCAAGGAAATTTTATTTGGTCGCATATTGAGTGAATTATTTGAGATTTTTTCTTTATTAAGACCTATAAATATATGCATTCATTTTCGGAGCCTTGTTTTTTTTAAAAAATTAACCTTTAAGATGTTTATAATTCCAGATTTATAAAAATTTTCCCTCCGATAATAATCTAAAATTTAATTTTGATGTATATACGTAATGATGATGATGATTCATTTGACCCTTGTCTTAATACAAAAAGTAAATATTTTTATTCAAAAAAAAAAATGATTTATTTTATAAAAATATACTTTAAATAGATTATTATTTTATCAATTTTTCAATTTTTTTTTATTGCAATTACTTTTAAACACCAAAATTTTATTTCGCAGGAGTTATTGAAGAAGAGCTGGAAGTATTATCGGTTGTCATAGTATGGAGTTAAATGCAGTAAAACGAATCAAAATCATTAGTGACGCATGTTTCTGAAGGGACTTCTTAAAATGAAAGGGTGGAAGAAACATCCTCATTTCTGTGTATATTTAAGGGATTACTGAGGTTTGAACCACTTCTAGAAAGATAATACAAAAATATGTCAAGGAGAGCAAAGAAAAGGAACTTTTATTTGATCGAATCTTTGAGTGATTTATTTGATACTTTTTTTTATTATTAAATTAATTAAATTAAAAATTTTGTAATTATTATTTTATTTATTTTTCAGTTGGAAAAATTGAAAAGCATAAAGTTATTCTTTGTTACTGCCTTTCCTTTTTATATTTGTCAATGGTAAGTTATTTATCAAAAATATTTTATTAAAAGTTCTTAATCCAGGGTTAATTGATTCCTAATCGCACATTATGTATGATCTTTAAGCTGAAAATTTATTTTTTTTTATTGAAATTTACTAATTCATCAAAAATTTTATATGCTTGTCTGCACAGTTTTCACTTGAAGAATTTTTTTTGATGCACAGGAAATGAAAAATAAAACACTTATTATATATTATTGTAATGTTTCATCCCTAAAGACTTGTTCTTATGCTATGAAATAATAACCTTCACTTTCCCATTTCTATTTTCTTAAAAACTTGGTCCCCAATCACCGAAATATTGAAAGCGATTTATTAATTTTTAAATTTTTTTACAAATTAAAAAAGCTGAAGAAATTTCCATGAACAAAGAAATAAGTTGAAATTATCAATCACTAACACAAACTACAACTCGACTTAATTCTATTTTTTCAAGTCTTCCAAAACTAAATGAAGAAAATTTTTGAAAAAAGAATTTGATAGAATTAACTAAATCTATTTCTGCTTTCATAGGGTAAATATTATTAAATAATCATTTTGTTTGTTGATCCGAAATTGGAAAAAAAAAGAAATGGTCAGTGGTGTAACAAAAAATATAGTTCTATGATTTCATAACTTAGATATTTTATTTCAACCTTAGCCCAAATTAGGAAGCTTTAATAATTAAATATGCATTCCGATTTAATGATGTAATGTGTAATGCTATAATCAATCTCTATATGTATACCGTATATTGTCTAGTTCCAAGTCTCGACTTTTACGAAGGTTTTGCGCTTTTCCACCATCCAAAATGAAAATAAATTGACTGATGAGGAAGTGGCTAACTTGTTCAATTATTTTATCTCAAATAAAGATAAACAAGCGGACATATTGTTAGCTTTAAAGATCTTCTTATTAAACAAGAACTTTTCTGAGTAGTCATTCCCATCCCTAAAATTAAATTAATTAATACAAAGACGACAACATGGTCAGCAACAAGAAAGTTCTAAATATACCAGTTTTGAAGTGGGACACCTTTCTTGCTAATGCCTTTAATGAATCAAAAACTCTTGACACAAACAACCGTATATTTAGCAGGCCTAACACTATTGATTCTTTATCTGCTGAGAATTCTGCCATTGATATATTCTTGAAAACGATGGAAGCTATCAATAATAAAGATTGATTAATTTACAACGACCTTCTTGAAAACGATGGAAGCTATCAATAATAAAGATTGATTAATTTACAACGACCATAAAGTTGGGGTAAGCGTTATATGTTTGAAGGAGTTAAAGGCCGACCAGACGCTATACGCTGTAGCGCCGATAATAAACTCTTGGACAATTCAGAAGCATCTCAGATACTTTCAACAGTATAAGTTAAACCTTCACATCTAATGAGAAATTTGATAGAAAATGGAGCCGAATTGTTCGAGGCAGAATATACCACATTCAAAAATCATTAAAATCGTTAGGCGAGTATTTGAAAATATGGTTATTAATGACCTACGAAGTGGCCTGTTTACGAACATCTATGTATAATTTACTTTATACTAATTAATAATTCAGACTGAAAATGTATCAATAATTATTTTTTTGTTTGAGTGATTACGATTAATCTACCAAAGTTGATGGACAAAATTATACATAGGCCTTTTATTTTCTGTTTATTATGTTGCTGTCTTTATTGGGAATCCAAACGCTAACACCATTTTAGGTCATGCAAGCAGTTCAACTGAATCTTCAGCTAACATATTTTATTATGAAATAATCACATATCTGATTGCAGGCTCGAACCCATTAACATTCACAGGCATCAGCTGGACCTGATTTATGCGAATTTTTGATCAAATCAAGACCGAAAACAGACTTACCTTAGAGGAGATGTGTTTTAATGCGGCAATGAAAATTCGTACACTTGTACACTTGGAGGGAATATTAAAAATACAACTGTGCAAAAATTTTATGAAAGAAATATTAAGAAGAATGGTTACATTAGTACATTAGACCAGATTGGTTTATGGGTAGTTAGTAAAAATAATAACTTAGATAGTATTATGGGGTAATGGGAAGGAACTGTCATTCTCACTTTGTGAGCATCTAGGGGAGTCAGGCATAATCTTTCATGCTTTATTCCTCCCTTGAAACAACCACTATTCCATGAGTTGATCAACCCATGTAATAACAAAAAAAATATCACATCAAATAAAGTTTTAATTATTTATTTTTATATGTATGTGTTTTCTTCAGTTCTAGGGTTGTTTCTGCATTAAGTTGATCCAAATTTTATTTACAGTTTTCTCGGTAACTCCTGAAATGAATTTCATTTACTTTGTTCTCAAAATTATTTGAATAATGAAATCCAGGATAAAATTTCTTCATGCCCAGATCGTATTGTATTTCGAAACAAATGGATTGAGCTTTGTGTTGTAATTTTTGAGGATTCAATAGATAAATGTTGTTCATTATCCATGATATTTTCAGAAGGAATTCCTGTGGAATCAGATAAAGCAATAATACTATTACTCTGTAAATCTAGTATTAAATCTAGTTCTACATTCTGATTTTTAGCAAATTCAATTTCATCAGAATCACCAAGATCTTCCACTGGCAAAAAAGTACTTGGAATAGTTTTTTGTTATTCCTTTATTTGGGGTATGTTACTTTCGATTTTGACTTTTATGGAACATTTTATATGTCACATGACAAATTTTGATCATCTTTCTTAGAGTAAAAGATCATTTTTATATCATTTGACAGCTTTGATGAAATGTTAAGTCTTGATTTTTTGCAGATTTGCACAGAAGTTTCTTTTCTTGATTTTTTTCTCTTATCATATTACTAACTCTTTCCTTTTTATTTCAATTCAAAAAATTATCCATCTCTCTATTTTCCAATGATTTAGGTTCTGTATAAATGTAACTGTTTGAAAGATTAGCCAAATTTGTTCCAAATTAGAAGAGTGATTCAATAGTAGATATCACTTATTTTCAAGAATTTTACTTCATGACTGGAAATAACATAATTATATTATTTCCAATTATTCTAGGTTATTCCTAGTTAGGTATATGTCATGATTTATTTTTTATATCACACTCGAAGGTGATATGATTTATTTTTTAGGCCACACTTGAACTATCATATATCAGGTTATTAATCTAATTGATTTCTGTTATTAAGTTACATGTGATATATTGTATATTAATTTGGTGATTATAATTGATTTTAAATATAAGGTACTCTCCGAGATAAGTTATTAAGGGAAATGTAACCCTCAGGTTATTCTCACTAGGTGTGACAATGAGATCACATATTTGTTGTCATTTGTAAATCCAATATGAGGGCTATGCCTAAACTTGACACATAGTATCCTAGCTTTCTGGTTAATTTCTCTATGAGAACCAGAGTTGAGACATGTAGTACTGAAATAGTATTCATGACCTAGCTTTGTATAATGTATTCAAATACCAATTAAAAATAAAACATGTAATGTTAAATTACTAACTGTTATAATGCACTCAAATATTGATCAAGGTTGAGGCATATAGTATCAAATTGTTAACAGATATTAGTTTCACATTATTCATTCAAATATTATCTGATAATGAAACACATAGTGTCAAATTGCTATTTCTACTTAGTAACTCACCAAAGCATAATTTTATTTTACATATATCTGTAATAATTATATCTTGATAACTTACCAATTTTCATGAATTGTTATTTCTACTTGATAACTTTTCAAAGTACAATTTTATTTTATATATATATCTGTAATAATTATTTCTTGGGGTTATCAATTTTCATGAAATGTTATTCTTACTTGGTAACTTATCAAATCATAATTTTATATATATTTATAGTAATTATACTTTTGTGACCTACGTTTTTTACCTCTATTTATATCCCATCAAAATACAAATTTCTATATATCTATATTTTTATATTAATTATACTTTGATAGCTTACTGATTTTTTCTCAAATCATATGTTTAATCATATTTCATTATTTGTCAAATCTTAATCTATATATTGGAAGTACTTAAGTAAAATTTCATCTAGTAGTTATATGAATTGAACAACTGCTATCCAGAAATCCTTTTTATATTTAAAATTAATTAAATTAATAATATTATATAGTATCAGTATTATAGAAGAAATTTCTTAAAGAATATATATATTTATACATAGTCCTCCAGAAATAAAACAGATTAATATTAAAAAAGAAGATATTAGTAAAATATTATAAAGTAATTATAATAATCATATAATAATTTTTGAATCAAAAAGTTTTCATTTGATTTTATTTTATGATGATGACAGTTAGAATAAAAAACTGCTTATAAATTTACTACAACTCGTTTAATAAATCAACAAACAAAACAAGATAATATTTATATTCCAGGATTTATTTTATTGTTAAATAATTATAAAAAATTAACTCTTGATTATACATGTTTCCAAAATTGATTTTAGATTTTTGAGGTTATACTTGCACGCAAAATTATTTTGGAGCTCCGAAATTGTAATTTCGGAGAAAAAAGTCGAAATATTTTTTTATAGAAGACAAAATTATTTTACTTAAAACCTGAAATTTTTTGACCAACCAGATTTATTCTTTGATTAAGTATACACA